GGCCAGAGCAGCCCCGCCACGGCCTGCCTTTGCTCTTCAGCAAAGGGGAGAGTGAAGGGAGAAAGAGAGGCATGCAAACCGCGAATTAAACCCACACATGTGAACCGTTCCTCCTCCTCCCCAAATGCAAAGGTTCCTGACCCCTCCATCCAGATGGCGACCAGTTTTCCCCCCAGGCGAGGGAGCCAGGTGAAGCTGCAAAGGAACTTTCTCCTCTGTTTTGGGGAGAGGCTGCTGGTGCCGCTTCATGGACGGTGCTTTGCCTTGTGCAGAACAGGCCTGTGCAAGGCCCAAGTTCTGACTTGCGGTGTCCCCAGGGCCACCGTCGCCGTACTCCTGACAGCAGCCGAGGGCCTCGAAAAGCTCTGGAGGCAATAATCCATCCTTTCCCTCGGTGTCCCCATAAAATAGGGAAGTTAAATCATTTACCAAAAATCTCACTGGGAATAAGCGCATGGCCAGGCATAGGATGCATGGACTTAATTTATTTCTCCCTTACACTAGCAGCGGTGATTACAATTGCATACAGAAAGATCAAAGTGTTTTCTGATTCCCAGGTCTCACAGCACCATTTACCACCCAAGACAACAATTATTTATGCTACCAGTGAAATAAAAAAAGGAAAAAAACCACCCAAATTAATTTTCTACGTGCAGCTCAGACCTCCTATCTGCATTTTACGGCAACGCGAAGGGCAGCCAGGCTGGTTCTCTTTACTGCCCTGTGGGCAGTTTTGAATTTCACTGAGGAAGGGGGTGGTAAGGGAAGGGAGAGTGGCAAAAATTAGATCTGAGGGAGGTCAACTCTATCCACTTAACTGCTATTGACCCACTTGTAACCAGAGCTGAGCCCAGCCCCGGTGTTGGAATTCCTCTGGCCACATCCCTGACGATGTGCAGGGCCCAAGAATTTCTAAATCCCTGTAGCACAGTGAAGTCCCTACAGCCTGAAAACCACCACAGATACTGCTTGTCTCATAGCTGCTTGGGGCTGAGCATAACAAGGCAGAGAAGCTGGGGTAAATTTACTGGGGGATTAAGAGGAAGAAGGTACTTTCTTCCCTCTTGCTGGGTAAAGTGTGGAAAGCCCCAGGGAATTACTGCTCTGTGTTTCAGTTGATACACTAAAAAACCCCAAACCTTTCTGAAGAAAAGATCTTTACAATTATGAAAATCTTGTGCTTTAGTCTGTTTCCCCGGTTCCTGAAAAGTTGTGGCTTATTCTACACCATTTTAGGGCTGCAAAAGCAGCAAAGTATAATTGAGCATCAGGCCCAGATTTCCCTCCAGACTCCCGAGCATGCTTTCCTCATGCAAATATGTGAAAGGGAAACCAGATACTCCCAGCCTCAGTCTGAGAAAATTGTGTTAATTTTAATAACTTGCAGTGTAACTCTTACACCCTGATGCAGTAGCTATACTGATAGAAAGTAAGCACCAACGTGCAACCCAAAAATGTGTCTACTAAAATAAAATAATAATAATAAAAAAGCCTTGGCTTGCATTAGTTATAGGTTTGGCTGAAAAGCTGAGCCTTGGACTGTATGAGGTGGCTCTGGCTCTGCTGGTCCACAGAAAGACTGAATTCATTACTCGTGAAACCTTCACGGAGGGCACGCTGCCTCGAATCCCAGGGAACAACGTCGATGAATAAGAATGGACATGGGCTAATTCAAACCCTTCTCCCACCTTTCAAATCAAGTTAGTGATTTCTCTCTTCTTTGTGGTTCCCAGCCAATTGTCATTTTCAGTGCATCCTATTGCCCCGCAGTACAAACTGTTCTGGGAATACGCTTCATTCCTCCAGCAGCCTCTCAGCAATGCCAAGGAATGTAGCTCTTCTGGTTACAATTAAGAAATTCAACATACAATTGCTCCCCAAGTGCACCAGAACCTGCTTGTGACCTTCACGCAACCGAATCTGAAGGAGTCGAAGTGATTTTTTTGTTCTTTGGTTCCAACAAAGAGTGGAGGAGAGGGGAGGGGAGGGGAGGGGAGAGGGGGAAACCCCCATTCCTCTGGTGGTTTCAGGGGTCAGCTGCACAGAAACTGGCGCAGGCAAGCGCAGTTTCCAGGGCTGCGTTCCCACAAGGAGCTCCGGGCCGTGGGGTCACTGGGAGGATGCCAGCCTGTGCTGCCAGCGCCGGCGCGCGCTGCGGCCTGGCTGCCGGCTAGGCAGGTTTAATTCCCACTGCCCCATGGCGGAGAGCGTGCCAGCAGGGCTAGCGCAGGCAGCAGTGGAGCCTCACCTGCCTGCTGCCACGCTGCCCGGGGGACCTCTGGTCCCCGGAGCCGCCGCTAAGCAGCCGGGTAGGGCTGCCTCTTGCTGCCTCGGCTCCATCCCCATGGGCTTACGCTCTCCCTGAGCTCCTTTGGGGCCTCTGCGTAGGTGCTTTGAGAGCAAGCTCTACCGCTGCCTTTTATCAAGTTACATCTCTACCAGGGTTGTGTCCAGGTGAGGCAGATTAAGAAGCTATTACAGAATAGTTCCGTAGTGTCTGCTTACAAATACAGTGCCTATTTAAGCAAAATAGCAAATACTTTTTGACGGTGAGCACGAATGTATTAGACATTTTTGAGGTCATTCCCCTCCCCCCGGCCTCTCTTCAGCCTCTGCATTTTCAGCCATAAGCCGGCTTCAAAACTCTCTTTCCCCTAAAACTCAGGATGACACTGTTGCCCAAACGAGAAATATATTTGTGTTTTCCAGATGGCTGGAGATGGTGAAGGAATAGCATGGAAAATCCTCACCGTGGAATCTCATTATCCAAAAGAACTTGGGGGGTCCGTGGAGCTCTCCAACGACACCTTCTTTTCACTGAGGATCAAAAATGCGACCAGCCAGAACAGTGGGACATATAAGTGCACTTTGCAGGAACAGAGTGGAGAACGCAATCTGAGTGGCACAGTCACTTTAGAAGTAACAGGTACAATAGAGCCTCTTGACTGTCCTATGCTCTGCGTGACATTTCATGAAGGTAACAGTTTAAAAATATTTTACAAACACCAGAAAAATTTAACCCTTTGCTTTACATTTTAGGTTGCCCTGGAATAGAAGATGAAAAATTGAAAAAATACAAAGCAGAGCTTTTCATGCTGACTTGCCTTGGGATTTTTTACTTGCTGCTCATATTTTTTACCTGTGTAAGTAATTCCCTTTCTCATGAACAAACCAACCAAACCCAACAACCTGCCTCCCCCTCATTTTCCCTGCTGGCACTACCTTAACACAGCCGGTCAGAAGTTGGTGTTCATACTTAGTTTATGATCAAATCCTTTAAATACTTATACAGTATTTTGAAAGCCAGAGGAAACTCAGGTGCACGAGGAACACAGGATGGAGTGCCAGATAGATAAAACATTTCACTGCACCCTGATCTAACTCAAACCAGTTATTTTTCCTGCACCCCGCTGCCCATTTCTGCTTCCAGTTACTCTGAGTGCAAGCTGCTCTTCAGCTTAAGGGCCCATCAACGGCTCTTCTGGTTTGATTCTTGGGAACAGCATTTGCCCGAGATGGAGGCACAGGCCCCTGGGATCCCTTCCCCAGCTATGGCATAGCTTTGTGTGCTGGCATGATGGACACATTCAAGTCCACCTACTTTTTGCCTCAGTTTCCGTACCTGTAAATTGGTGACAGCCCCATTTCAGATGGGTGTTTTTGTGAAGCTCCATCTTTCCTGGTAAACAGACATTTTAAGGTCCTCGTAAGAGAACCTCCTCAGGTTTTTATCCATACCCTTAATGCTGGCGGGTAGTTCTGGGAAAGGTGGGGAGAGGAGGTATTTGGGAAGCTCATTTCACAGAAGCAAAACTATGTTTTGTCTGCGGTAGTGGTAAAGTCACCCCCTCATGCGGAAAAACCAGGAGGTCTGCGCCTCCTGGCTTAAAGGCAGCATGAACCTCAGGTCTCAGTACAGTGCAACACCGGCTGCATTTCTAATTAAAAACAAAACAAAACCAACCCCAGCATTTTGGGACGTCAAATTTAACTTTTGCTGCCTATTTCATATTTGCCTTCTTGTTTTGCTCCTCAGCAGATGAATCATAACTGTTGCTTGGAGAATATCTAATTAGCTGCAGCTAAATGTAGCTTTTCATGTATCTTCAGGGAGCAATTAAATTTATGCCTGTCTCTTTTTTAGATTGACAATTCTGCCAGTAATTTGTGCCATTCAGACTAAAGTTTGACAAGATAAATCTTGTAGGAATTTGTTAGGATGAAAGTATGAAAGCAAGGATATCACTCAGAAGAGACAGATGCCCCTGTTCTGCTCTGTGTCCTGAAAAAATTCCCGATCTCTAAGAAACCTCTCCTTCCCATACATAAAAAAAGTCCCAGTTTTAGTGGTGCAGTTAGAAAAAACAGAGCCATGGAATGAAGATAACCACTCTGGTGGAATTACATGTATCTCACTCTTGGCTGAGGTCCAGTCTCAAGTATCAACCTAGCTTTCATCAAAATTTAATATTTCCCTGATCTCACAAGTGAGCTTCATTATTTAAAATGCCTGTTAAGTTCTTACAGGTTGCCTTGTCCTCTCTTTCAGTGGAAATTTTGCCTTATCTCCACTAAACTCAACAGCGACATTAAGTTTAAGACTGGTTGTCAGGACTGGAGCTTTACTTTGACAACTTGATAAAAGTATTTCAGGCACTGGCCTGTATTGAAGGCAGGTGGAAACACACTTGCAAGGGCTTGATGCAAGGCCTGTTCATATAAAAGCTTGAATTCAATATAAATTTCCTTTTGTGACTGAGGCTTTTGTCCTCTAAAGCTCCTTGACTGAGCAAGAAACAGCAGCTTTTCTTTGTACTGGGCGCTTCTGGAGACAAACAAATGGAAAAGGCGTAATGAGCTATGGTTAGCAAGGAGAAAAAGCAAAACTTTCAAACTTTTAAAAAAATTACCTTTCATAGGAATTCTCAGTTTTGACCTTTCCTTTCTGTTTTCTCTTTTAGACATGTCTAAGAAAAGAGAGTATGTCTCCCAATTATCAAAAAACCAGACCAGATATGAAACACATGCTCACCCTCATCAACGTGCATGAAATGAAAACTTTCCAGGATTTAAACAGCAACAGCACTTGCAAGAATGAGCTTACTTCAAGTTCTGTCTAAGCTGATGTTGACGGCACTGTGGGCTTATCAGTAAACACGGCACGAGCGGGATGGCCGAGTGGTACAGAGAGGAAATAAACGCTAATATACGGCCTCTTTGGAACAGCCTGAAAGTATAGGTAACCTGTCAGTGATCCACTTGCACTGGACAAGCCTTCGAAAAGCACTGTTATGCACTACAGTAAGTTTTAGGGGTTAGGTGGCTAAGAAATACCATTACAGCTACACAACAGTGTTACGATGCTGTTACGAAGCTGGCATCGACTTTGTTTCGCTCTGCTGTGCAGCCCTCTCATTCTGAGCAAGAACACGCCGGTGACACCAAGGTCGGGTTATAGGGAGGCCACGTCAGCGCAAAGCTGGAGGATTAAGCTCTTCACTGAACTAATAGCTCTCACTCGTCTTTCAAAAGCAAACACAACAGGTGCTGCAGCATGGAGAGATAAGTGTGTGGGGCGGCCTCTGCTCTGTGCTCTGAGCCTGATTCTGGATGGAGCTCCTTTACTGCACATGGGATGTAACTTGTCATGTGACATCCGAGGAAGCTGAAGAGGTAACTTCACACTCTTGTCCTGGGTGAATCGAATCAACACTCATTTTTAAATCATAGAATCATAGAATCCTAGAATCCTTTAGGTTGGAAAAGACCTTTAAGATCATCAAGTCCAACTGTTAAATCTGAGAGTGACAGACGGGCTGAAATGTAAGAAGGAAGAAAGTGTTCTGGAACTCTTTCTGGACTGAGAGGAACTTTCTATGCCTGCAAGAGAAGTAGGGATGCATTTGCAGAACAGGTCCATCAGTTCTTTCCCAGAGGCATCTCCACTGGAATCCATAGGTCAGGCCATAGGAAGTTTCAATGAGATTGTTAACCTTAAAGCAATGAAAGTAAGAATGAAGTAGCCTGTGATATTAAGGACATGTAAAGATGACTTACTTGGTGGCTTATGGAACATGAAGTCAGGTGTATGCAACACCCATGTCAGTCCAGTTACACAAGTGATGACCAAAGCCATGGCTTAGAAGAAATCAACTGTCTGTATCTTTGGGATGTATTAAATCAGCCATGACATATAGGAATGGAAGATGGGGCATACGGGCACCTGCTTTTGGTGCTGACAGCATGGAGTACATGTGAAACAAAGACATGAGAAAAGCTGAACTCAGGCACACAATATAAGGGAGAGAAGGCTTGTCCTCTTGCATGAAAGAAAGCAAGAGAGATTCTGGAATCTGAAATCGAGGAACCTCCCTTATCGGGCTGCTGCTGCAGAAGGTGAAGCCAGGGGACTCTAGAGTGACTGTGGGTGTTTATGCCATGACACGAGAATTTGAGCCAAAACATGAGAATCTGCAAGCACTTAAGAACACAGTCTTAAAAAAAAAAAAATCCTTTAAGAGTTAAACTGCAACATTAGGATTTTTAATTCAGTTTGGAATTCCAGGCTGTGACAAGAATGCTCTTTCTGTAATCCTTTGACTAATTTTGAAGCTCTGATTGGAGGAAAGCACTGTGCTTCACCCAGTAGCGCCTATGCAAGCAGCATAGATGTCTCCATTGATGGAGGCCAAGGGGCTCCTGACCAGAAGAATGGCTACAAGGGATATGCAATTTACTTAGAGCATGGTAAATTAATGCCACATTTGCTTCTTTGTAATCAATTTTTACATGTAAATGTGTGTAACATACTTGAAATAAAAATTCAGAGGTAACCTATCATTTGTTTTTGCATGCCACATATGGCAAATAAACCCAGAAATACTCCGTATCAATTGCATTTTATTTTACAACCGACATAATTACACCAAATAATGTAGATGCCTCTTCTGCGGGAGAGGGCATGTATGTGTGTATAATTAATTAAGCAACAGATAATTTTATGCATTTCTAAGGAACTCAGATAATTTAGATTTTCCTCTAAATTTCACTTTCTGCCCAAAGTACATTCTAAAACACCTGTTCCGTACTGACAAGGCAAGTCATTAAGGAAAATACAAGGGTGTTTCAGCCTACCTGTGGTCATTTTTAAACATGGTGTACCATCACGGGTGACCTGTACATTTAGGTGGCAATAATATGAACTAAATGTGCACGTATAGTAACTGACCTAGGGTATATCGGGTTTCTCTGTTTGGTGAGAAAGGCTTAACACCTGATAGTCATAGGTATTTTGGTTTTTTTTTTATTACTATTACATTTTTTTTTAGGAGAGTGGACTAGAGGAAGGAAGGGAAAATTCATGTGAAAGGGGTTGATAATTAACCAGCAGCAAAGGCTGAAAGACTTTAAAAATTATTTCTTCAGATGTATAAATAGGATCAGATCAGATAGGACAGAAGGAGGAAAGGGACTTTGAGTAAACAACTATGCCCATTATTTTTTCCCCAGGCCAAACTGTCTGCCATACAGAAGAGTGGCCCTGATGCGACAACACTGGGAGGCAAATTTCAGGCTCAGAAGTTTCAGGCTGGTTGATTCTGGGGATTTGCTGTAGGCCCAGCTGTGCAGTAGAAGTGACCGTGTTCAAGGCCACTTAAATGCGTTAAAGAGTTTAGATGGACTAAGCAGCGAGGAAGTCTTATGCCAAGATGCTTGACTGAATCACAGAGCTGGAGAGAAACAGGCAACGTCCTAAAGTGATGAAGGTGCCTGCATGTCTGAGGTGTAAAGGATGTAAAGAAACTGTTGTGGCATTGTAGGACAAAACCTGACATTAGCTAGAAATATTATGAATGAGAACCAGACAACTGAAGGATAAAAGCTGATATATTACAGCAACTTCAGCACTAACAGGGAAGAAAAAAAAAATCACATCTTGGCTGAAAACCTTAAAGAATGAGCTACACATTTTTCAACATGGTATCTCAGAAGAGACAGTCCTTTCCCTGCAATATGGACCTATTCATATTTCAAAATTACTGCCTCAGCTAGCCCGGCATACAGGGATGAGCACATGCACACGTTCTTTAGACTTTAACACTTCATTATTAAAGAGACCGTGTTGTGGACTGTACAGTCCAGAGGCTGTTCCGATTTTACAGATTAATTGCTTTGTTGGACAGAAATATTTGTTTTATTTTCCACCACTCTTCATATTATTGATGCCTTTAGTTTTGTAAGGTAGTATAAAAGCATATGTGCATGCTAGAACCATTCTTTGCAATACTTTCTTACAATAATTTTTTGACTCAGGAATTCAGTTGATCTCAATAAATCCATGAGGTGGGAAATACCATCATCTTTGTTTTATAAAAAAAAGCTAAGACACCTGGAAATCAGAAAGCTCCTGAAGAAGTCTGGATCAGAACTGGGAAGAGATCTGAGGTTTCCAGACTCTCCTCCGGGTGCCTTGTGACGTTTTCACTGATTTTTTTTCCTCTGTAACCTTCATTTTTCTATTGTTTTGTTCAAAGCTGAACCATCTGCATTCAAAGACAACAATAAGCATTATGCACAAAATTACTCATAAAGAGTGAGTTTGTACGCCTGTGATTAAGGAATATACAGAGAAACACTGCACCACACAGGGAAATTACCCCAAAGGGAAATTGCAACAGTCATACACTGGAGCTAAACGAATATCCAAAATGGCAATGAGGGAAAGCTAAAGGACATAATCCACAAAATGCTGAGTGTATGAATTACAGCCCTTAGCTAAGCCTGATTTGTGCGGCTAGCACTGACACAGCAGATAACCCAGGCTGACAGTGACCTTGACAGCATTGCAACAGTAATATTTCCTGTAAAGGCTGAACAGCTTTCAGCCTGTTTCTCCTGAGCAGGAGCTACAAACACGCCTGTATTCAACAATGTGGGCCAAAGTAATCCTCAGATTGTGCCTGTGAATGATACAAACCGAATATGGCTCTCTGGGCCTGCTGAATGCCTTGCTCTCTTCTTTCTTCTGCCCTTGATGAGAGTGTTTTGGAGAGCATAAAGCACATTTACCCCACGCACGCCTTCCCTTTCTCCCCCCTCTCAGTGCAGAGCCGAGCAGCAATGCAGCGCAGGGGGGATCTGGTTCCAAGTCCATTGAGCAACTGCAAGTATTTAGTGACCTTCTTGACCAATACTTCTGCCCCTTGGGAACTGCAATTGATTTTCCTCATCTCTGTCCATGAAGACAATGCTGTAACACTATGTTACAGCCCTATAGTTAAAGGTAAATTGGAAGTGCTTTCCCCATGCCTCCTTTTTAAGTAAATGTCAGCGAAACCCCTAATTCTTAGTCATTTGTGGAATGAGCGGCTGGGAAGATTAAAGAGTTACAAGTAAATGGAATACCAAATTTTTCGGTTGATGGCCTGTTCTCTCTTCACTTTGCTGCCAAGACCTGTGTTTTGCAGTACTCTGCTTTTCGCTGACTACAGCGGATATCACTTCTGCATAAAGCTGTGAGAAGAGTGCCGTTAGCTCTGCCGAGCGGTGATGTAAATCCTGAAAAATCCACCAAGGGAATGGGTGGTGGCAAGACTGACACGGGTCGCTGCCAGGAGCAGTGGGTCCTTTGAAGGCTTCATTTTACGTCCAAGCCATGCGACTCTTCCAGCTCTTTGATGGAAAACCTTGCTACGTCCCTGTGGCTGAGTTACAAGTGCATCTGTTACACCGCAAATGGGCAGCCTGGGCTGATTTTAAGCATTTGCTCTGTTACAAGACAGGCATCACAGCCAGTGCAAAAGAAAAAAAACAAACCCACCAAACCCAATAAACCCAACCCCACGGACAGATTGAAGCTAAGAGAAGGGACAGGTTCTAAGGGAAACAAGGATTGCACAAGCCCTGTGCAAACATGGGCTTCGTGCTCTGCAGAGTCTTGCTGTTGCTTCTGTGAAGGGAGTCAGAACAACCTGTAGGGGTTGGGGTTTTTTTGTTTGTTAGCTTTTAAAAACATTTGCACTGTGTGTCTCAGTTTCCCTCTCTATAAATGGGAGCGAATGAGCTCACGTGTTGTCTCGCGTGAGAGGCAGGGAGACTGGCAATATTTACACCTTATTGC